ATTGTGACCCTTACAAAGCATTGAGTCAGTGAGTATAATATTATGTGAGTTATATGAGATAAACTGAAGGGAATTCATGTGTTTTGATTTAATGTGAGGATTGGCTTCAAAATTAAGACACTACATGAGGCCACATAATGAACATTACCAAGACTGTGTGTTTTGCTGCAGGCCTTGTAGACCCTGTGCAGAGAAGCACGGGCTTTCATCTAAAAGTCACTAATTCTATTATTTAAAAGAATTTAAATGAAAATTCTCTTTTAAGAAAGAACACTACCTGCTATATTCTGCCTTTTTTTCTGTTCCAGAGCAAAAATCCACAAAAATAATAAATAAGATATAAGCTCAAAAACCAAAATGTCATAGTCAGATGTGTAAGAAAGACCCCTGTGATGGAAGCATCTGAATGCACCTTTAAAATGACTAGAAAAAACAAAAAGTTCTTGAACAATTATAAGTTGAGCCATCTGTGTGATAAATATTTGTGTTTTTCTCTGAAGCCTCTCAGGATCAATTAGTCAGTTTGGTCATAACAAGTTTAGCAGACAACAGTGTTGTCCTCCAAGGAACAGCCTATTAGGAGTAGAAAAACAGATCAGGCCTCTTGTGGGGGGAAAATGAAAAGATACAGTGGCACTGTGGTGGGATTCCTCTGGGATCAGCCTGAAGAGTAGTTCACAGACCTCTTTGTAAGGATGGAAAGTAAGATCATGCTAATTCTGTAAACCTGTAATCTTTTAGGGCCTTTTCACTTATTATTCAGGCAACTCAGGCCTAGGGACTGTATTATACCAAGTGATTTGGTGAACAAACTCACTGAAAGAGTCAATCACAGATCAATAATTAGGCCCAAAATTCATCAGACAAATACACACAGTTTTGTCTCTACGTCACCACAGTTGATTAAATAAATCAATATGTGACTGGTAGGGGTGCAACAATACATGTATCTGTATTGAACCGTTCAATACAGTGCTTTGGGTTCGGTACGCATATGTATTGAACAATATAAAATTTTTAATTTATTTGATCAACTTTTCTTCTGATGATGCCGTCTGTGTTGAGGGATCAGTGGATCTGCGTTTGATTACTCCGCCTAGGCTGCATTGTCGAGCGCAGATCCACTGAGCGCCGCCCATATGCATTCACTCAAGTTAGCATGGCAACTGCCTCAACGCTACCCAAAATTGAACCTCATCCACCGTCATTCAGATCTGGCATTTGGAACCGTTTTGGTTTTCATGTTAAGTAAGACTCTACTTCAGCACGTCGTGGACAAAAGTACAACAGTATGTCGAATGTGCCACGCAATGCTCAATTACATTGGTCGGAACACAACGAATATGACTGCACATTTACGCTGACATCACGCTAATGCAAAGACAAGTGGAAGCAGACAAAAACAACAATAAACACGCATGCTACAAACTTTACCCAAGTTATTTAGACAGCCGTTAGCACATGATTCTAAGAGGGCAAGAGATAGACAGGGCAATTGTTACTTTTATTGCTGTCGACAAAATAGCTTTTATTTTGGAAAGAGCAGTTTCTCTGTAATAAACTCTTTTCCACAGATGAGTGATTTCTCCATCAGATAATTTTTATTTTTTTATTTTGTTGTTTCAGCAACATTTAATTTAGAAACTATACTTTTGAGTTAAAAGAAATAATTTATAATTTGAATAACTTAAAAAAGGCATGAACATTTTTTTTGTATCAAAAAAATATCGAACCGTGACACCAAAGTATCGTAACAAACCAAACCGTGAATTTTGTACATCGTTGCACTCCTAGTGACTGGAGCTCATTCATTCAGGTTAAATCTAAGCAGGAGTACATAAAAATGCCTCCAATACCTGAAAAGTTAATGTAACACTTCATACAACCTCTTAAATGAAAACTTAAACTCTCCATTTGAATCATATCTTGACTGTTTTAATATCTATTATGGTGATGCGTAGAGGCAAAACTCTGTCCAACATATTGTGAAACTAAGTGTAAGTTACAACCACAGTGCTGTTTCAGTTTTCTTGGAAATCATTTTGATTACAACACAACGCTACAGAATGTAGATCAGTTTCCTGTAGGCCTAAAGCAGTCTGTTATTTCTCTCTGAGGGATTATCTGAACATCTCTAATATACCCAGGGAACTAATTTCTTTTGTTTGGCAACAATAGCTTATTAATATGTCCCTTTGGATAATATTCAGTGTAATAGTTTGAATTTAGAGCCCCTGGAGATTTAATAGTCTCTGGAGTATTTTCTTTTTCTTTTTGGCATTGCTGTATAAGAACTGTACTGTATGTGAATGTTTTTTCTACCCTGGTGCTTTTCTTTCTTTCTTTGGTAATTGATCTAATCAGTCTCAATAGTCAGAATGAAAAAATAAACAAAAAACAAAGTTAACAAAGTTGTAACCTGTGTTTTCTGTGTTTTCATCTAATCAAATTTTAGTGTTAGATGACATTACTTAAACCAGCAAACCATTAGTTTTATGTTTTGTATTCTGGCACAAAATGGAAGTTCTGGTGCCTCAGATGAATCAGGAAATCCACACTGACTAGCCTCAAGTAACATAAGTTTGGGAGTATTTTACCCTTTTAAAATAAAAAAAACTAAAAAAAATTATTTATATTTGCCTCTAAAAGTCCCTCTGACTGAGATACCCTCAGCCCCTGAACTACCCACCCAAACTACCTTAACTAGCCTTAGCACTCAGGACATGGAAGTGGTATGATATGTTCAGGATAAGAGATCAGCAATCATGAAATCACTGCCTAATAACCATTTAGGAAAATTGAGTCACAGTTCCTGAAATATCCCTCAGATCTCTGAGAAAGGATCAGGATTAGTTCCTTTGTCTTTCCCTGTTTTTCATTGGTAATAAATAAAGATTCTTAGACTTTATTCTTGACTTGACTGCAAACAGCTTCACAATTTCCAGATTATATACATCAGTATATAATCCTAAAATATGAAAAATGCTAAATATTGCCCATCAGTTTCCTGTAAAGCAAGGCGTGGGGATGCACAGTGTCAACGCAATATGCGGTTAGCTCGTTAACGTGTTGACGACGTGCAGCCCCACGCACAGGGCGATCCGTGGTAACTCGCTAACAGAGATTTGCCGCATTAATGCGGTTAAGGTGTTAACGTCATTTTAACGAGATTAACGCTGACAGCTCTAATTTTGTCATGTTGCTCTTAGAGAAAGCCAACAATTCTCTAAATGTAGATTTCTAGTTTAATCTGTTGACCATACGGCAAATTAGCAGACAGATTAAGGTTAAATGCTATTGCGGCAGTAGGTAGAAAAGACTAAAACTGTTGTTTAAACATCAATTTAATGAAATACTAATAATAATCTGTCAGATTCGCCAATGTCTCAATAAGAGAATTGTGATAAATCTGTCAACTCACACAGCATTTTTGCCAGCTCTCCTTACTGGCTTGAAGTAAGCTAAACTTTATTAATATAGTAGGTTTTTTCAATCTTACTGACTAAAGGGCTTAAAAAGCTCATGCATTTTAATAATGCTTTTAATACTAAACTCCCGTGCAGTGCAAACAGGTAAACACACACACATACACGCATCACAGCTTTTAATCAGCATTGTATGCATTTAACATAAACATATACTATGGGGAAAATGTATGAACTTTTTTTGTAAAATAAGCCACTTTCCTGCCAGTAAACTTACTATCCAATCACCATAATTCCGATTGGTTAAGTGCTCCTAACACTACACTTTCATGTAATTGTATTGAGGAAACTGTGTGTTCACCACCTCCGTTTGTCCTTCTGAGTATAAAATATCATTATCAACACTTTTCAAGTCAGAAGTTAATTTAGTTTAAGTAACCTGTGAATTTGCCTCATCTGTCTGTGTGGAATATGACATCCTCTGGCTGTAAATCCAATGTCATGAAAAATGTTTACCACCCTGTGTATATTAGCCCTGTGTTTTCCTGTGCTCATTGTCGCGTCATACCCTCAGATCCTGCCTGTGTGTTCCTGTTTGGTTTCATGGTTTGGTTTCTGTTTTTGTTTCATGCCAGCAATAAAAGCTGTGGTTTTCAGTTACATTTTGTCTCGGAGTCCTGCATTTGGTTCCACATTTCCACCTGCCCGCACACAGAGCCCTGACAGTCTGTATACATAGACCAGTCATTTGTGCGTTGAATCATATATCGTTTGATCTTTGCTTCATGTATATATTAGTAAAAAGTGCAAAAGAAAAGTCCATATAGGAAGCAGATGTGTTGGTGCAAAAGATTACAGTGCATCCAGAAAGTATTTGTACGGCTCACTTGGTCCACATTTTATCATGTTATAATCTTGTTGCAAACCATCCATTCATCTTTCATGGATATCACCACTTCCAGCACATCTGCGGGGACAGTCTTTCCCAAGGTAGCCGAGAGATGTAACCATCTCACACCAGCCCAGAGAGCAGATGTTGCTGGATTTGCAGATGTGTTCTCCCTCTGCCCAGTTGCACCACACTCATAGAGTTCTATTTGGATCGCCCTTTCATTCTGTAGACTGATTCCTTGAGCAAAGGGCTTAAGGTGTCACAGATAAATACAAAAAAATAAAATGATACAACCAAGACAAAATTTGTGGTACTTTGTAAATATAATAATAAACGTGAAATTCACTGTGTAATTGTGTAACTTTATTAGCAGCATCCTCCTGAACTGCGCCAACAACATTGAGAGAAACGTCCACCTCTCTGCCCCTTAATGCTATCTGGTTGCTATGGTAAGGTGTAAATATTCCTTTCAAAATAAGACGCACAACTACAACACGCGGAAAGAACAAGAAAAACTGGGTTTACGATAAAAAACCCGAAAACCATAAATTTTCGTGGCCCGGGGGTTGGGGACTGCTGCTTTAAATGGCACATATTGTAATACCCAGAAATTCAAAATTTGATGTGTAGAGTGGTACTGAAGGATATTGGAATACTTTATCATTTCGAATCCTAAATCCTTATCAGTATTTTTCTGCAATTCTAAACTGCGCTCTAGTTTGCAACAACTTCTTTAATGACTCTTTGATCTCCTGTGTCTGAAGAACATAGATAATCGGGTTTAACATGGGAGGCAATACAGTGCTAATAGAAAGGCTTATGATTCTAGCATTTGGATGTATTACACTCCCAAAGATATACACAAATATAATAGGAAGGAAATAAATTGCCACTAATGAAAGGTGACCTGTGCAGGCTTTAAAAGCTTTCACTCTTTCCCTAAATGTAGAAATATTTGACAAAGAATAACCAATACAGCAGTAACTTCCCACGATAAATGCCAGTGGAAACCCAAGAATTATAACTGGTGCCAAACCAGCAATTGCACGATTGGGGGTAATATCATTGCAGCCAAGACGATACATAGGACCATGATCACAGAAATTGCTCTGAATAACAACAGACTTACAAAAAGAAAGTCTTGTGAGAAGGCCAACTACAATGAGTATAAGAGTTGTGGCAAGAAGCCAGAAAAAAGCGATCAAAGTTAAAATGAGCTTGTGGCTCACTCTCATTTGATAGTGCAGCGGGTACATGATAGCCATGACTCTGTCAAAGGACAATACAACCAGATTAAAAGTTTGCATCGCATAAAAAGTAGAGCAGAAAAACATGAAAGTCAAGCAGTCATTGTAGGAAATATAATAATGGTTTAACAGAAAAATGTCAACAACCTTTGGCATCAAAGCAGAGCTACTTAACAGGTCTGTAAATGCAAGGTTAAAAACAGCAATATATTTTGGACTTCTCAACATGTGATCCAATGTTATTACAAGCATCACTAATGTGTTTCCCACCACTGCAAGAATGTAAATAAAACACAGAAAGACAAAATAATATCTAATATTAGGTATGCCAATAAAACCACTTATAATAAAATATGCAGGTCGCACAAAGGTGATGTTGTTCTCAGCAGCTGTGTTAATCAATGCCATGTAAAGAGCTTCTGTTAATCTTCTATAATTCTGTGTGTTTTATCGTTTGTTTAGGGAGCCTCTATTTTGTGAAGGCTATCTACAAATAGAAGCAGAGCAACATTGTGCTCTGATACTTATAGCAGTGCTCTTTTCCCTTGTGTCAGCTGTAAGCAGGCCTGGGTTCACAAATGTTTTTATCGGCCCATTTGAAAAAAATTAAATAAGTCTGTCTCTTCTCTTCTTGATAGCTACATGCCAGTCTCATAATTCATATTTACTGCTACTTGCTAAGGTTTTAGAAAAGGTTGTGGCCAAGCAGCAGCAATAAAGGAATCTTGATCATTTTCAATCTGGCTTTGCAGACCTCATTTTACAAAAACAACCATTTGCAGAGTCCAGCGACATCTTCTTTTCAAAGTCATGTAGGTAAAAGCTGGACAAGATAAGGGCCAGAGTTACTTTCCTGAGGGATTGTAACATTCTGTACTTCACTGAGACAGGGCTGACCCCCATCTGTGCCAGACCATGCCATAAATCCTTTGGACTGATTCTCAGTGTTCTGTACGGACTAGTGATGGTAAATTTGATTCTTTTTACTGAATCGAGTGTTAATGAGTCACTCACCAAAGTGAATCGGATTTTTGAGTCATTTGATTCACTGAGTCAGTTGACCAGAGTGCAAAAATTTTACATTTTCACTCAAACTTAATTTGTTTCCCTTTTCATGTAAATCCCACTGCTAAGATGAATGATTAAAAAAAAAACCCCCAAAAAACCAACAATTTTATAGAGAAAAAAAGAGCAAAAACATTTCTAAAATTAAGCAATTTCCTATCAAAATTGCTTAATAAACATTTATTTTGTTTATTTGTATTTTATTAGTATTTTCCTTAAGTGTGTCAAATATATATTTTCTCATCTAAATGTACACTGCGCTGTGAGCCAGGGGGCGGTAATGCGCCTTAACATTGGTTGCCAACCAAGAAGAAGAAGAAGCTGTGAGCCAGGAGGGAGGGGGTGAGTGAGTGATTCGTTCGCTCGCTCTATGATTCAGCACAGGAGGGAGGGGGTGAGTGAGTGAGTGAGTGAGTGAGTGATTCGTTCGCTCGCTCTTTGATTCAGCACAGGAGGGAGGGGGTTAGTGAGTCCTGAGTGATTCATTCGCTCTTTGATTCAGCACAGGAGGGAGGGGGTTAGTGAGTCCTGAGTGATTCGTTCGCTCTTTGATTCAGCACAGGAGGGAGGGGGTTAGTGAGTGAGTGATTCGTTCGCTCTATGATTAAGCACAGGAGGGAGGGGGTGAGCGAGTCCTGAGTGATTCGCTTATGCTTACGATTCAGCACAGGAAGCGAGGGGGTGAGTAGCTCAAATGTGTTGTTAGCATGTTAGCAGCACGATGCTACTCTGAACCGAGGAGCTATTTTCTTGATGTGAGCTTCTACTCAGGGTTTTTTCTTCCAGTTCAGAGCAGAAATGCTTTTGTTACGAAACTGGCTGTTGTTTTCCCCCCCACAATTTTAATTATAAGCTAGATATATTTCTACTAATGGAATTAGTTTGCTAACAGCAACAGGGATGAGTCAGTGAGTCAGTTGGGCTTGTGAATCATGATTCACGAGTCAGTAAAGTGATTCTCGAGTATTGAACGATTCGTTCACGAATTGAACATCACTAGTACGGACAGAATGGGAGAGTTGAACAAAACCAAAGGTGGAGGGGTGGTTCTCATGGTAAACAGAAATTAGTGCAATGCCAGAAGTATTTCTACTGTCTCCAGTGACTGCTCGCCTCATTTGGAATACTTGACAATTAAGTATCACCCCTTTTACCTGTGTCGTGAGTTCACCTTGACCACCGCCTATCCCACCCCACGGTGGACACAAGTATGGCTTTGTCTAAAGTACATGATATGCTGAGTGCGTTTCAAAACCAAGATCCAGGTACAGCCCTCATTGTGGCAAGAGACTTTAATAAAGCAAACCTCAGAGAAGTTATGCCGAACTTTTACCAACACATTACGTGTCCGATGAGGGGAGAAAGAATTTTGGGCCATTGCTACACGCCATACAAGTAGGGCAACAAAACTGTTTCACATCCAAATCTGACCACAACCCCATTTCCTCATTCCTTAGTATAAACAAAACATACATATTGATGAGTAGTCACGAGGGAGGTGAAATGCTGGTCTGCCCAGTCAGAAGCTACGCTACAGAAAGCATTTAAACACGTAGACCGGGACATGTTTCGGTTATCAATGACATTAGCGAGTTTACGGAAGTAGCAGTTAGCTTCATTAGCATTGTAGCAGGGGAGATCATCCTTACTGTAAGAGTCAAGATACTCCCAAACCAGAAACCGTGGTGGACGGATTGATTCGCACTGCAGTGAACACCAGGACCGCCACATACACTGCTGGTCTTGCCACTGGCAATATGAGCGCCTAAAAAGTGGCTTTGTATAGTGGTGAGGGATGCCAAACACAGGTATCGGGAGTGCGTGGAGTCTCACTTCCACCAGGGTGACACACAGAGCATGCGGCATAGACTGCGCACCATCGCAGATTACAAAGTCAGGGACACCACGACAATTAATGTCGATTCTGCATTTACCAATGAGCTGAACGAGTTCTACGCCCGTTTCAAGGTTAGCCAGGTGGCTAGTGCTAACTACAGCCCGACAACAGAGGACGGTGATGTCAGCACAGAGGAACAGGTAATCAGCATAGTGGAGCACGACGTCCGAGCGGCATTGAGGAGAGTGAACACCACAACAGTGGCGGGAACAGACGGCATCACTGGCCATCTGCTGCATTGCTGTGCTGACCAGCTCGTAGGTGTATTCACTTCTATCTTCAATGACTCCCTGGTAAAGTCCGTGGTCCCCACATGCTTGAAAATATCCTCCATTGCTCCGTGCCCAAGAACAACAAGCCAGACTCTAGGACTTAAGAGGCATCTATGTGCATGTGTGTTGGACTGCCTCACTGGCAGATCTCAGGTGGTGAAGGTGGGTAGGTGTGTCTCTGAAAACATCAGTACCAACAGGGGTGCATACCCTCACCACTGGTGTGTGTGTGTGTGTGTGTGTGTGTGTGTGTGTGTGTGTGTGTGTATATATATATATATACACATATACATATATACATATATATATACATATATACATATATACATACATATATACATACATATATATACACATATATACACATATACATATACACATATACACATATACATATACACATATACACATATACATATACATATATACACATATACATATATATACATATACACATATACACATATACATATACACATATACACATATACATATATATATACATATACATATACACATATACATATATATATATATATACATATACACATATACATATATATATATACATATACATATATATACATATACATATATACACATATACACATATATATAAAAAAAAAAAAAACACCCAGCACGCCCCTGCGGGCGGTTTATCCTTCAAGCTCGGGTCCTCTACCAGAGGCCTGGGAGCTTGAGGGTCCTGCGCAGTATCTTAGCTGTTCCCAGGACTGCGCTCTTCTGGACAGAGATCTCCGATGTTGTTCCTGGGATCTGCTGGAGCCACTCGCCTAGCTTGGGAGTCACCGCACCTAGTGCTCCGATTACCACGGGGACCACCGTTACCTTCACCCTCCACATCCTCTCGAGCTCTTCTCTGAGCCCTTGGTATTTCTCCAGCTTCTCGTGTTCCTTCTTCCTGATATTGCTGTCATTCGGAACCGCTACATCGATCACTACGGCCATCTTCTTCTGTTTGTCTACCACCACTATGTCCGGTTGGTTAGCCACCACCATTTTGTCCGTCTATATATATATATATATATATATATATATATATATATATATATATATATATGTATGTGTATATATATATGTATATATATATATGTATGTGTATATATATATGTATATGTATGTGTATATATATATGTATATGTATGTGTATGTATTTTGTATTACATTCTCTCACAGTCTGCTCTCTAAAACCTAAAAGAGGAATTATGGATTTGATCAACTGGTCCCTATATGTAATTGACACCCCTTTCTCAACGAGAAGTTTGGGCTTGGGTGAGCCTGAGTGCTGAAGATATCTACCTATTCTGAACCATGGTAACAGGGTTCTGGCTGATCGGAGCTGGCTTGGCCCTCACTTATGGAAGAATTAAGAAAGCGGAACCGGCTGTTCAACCCCCACAAGGGTGCCCGCTGGGATTGAAACGATGAAACTCAGAATAAGATCTCTGAGTGCAGACTGGATTACATCTTGGAGGGCGCGCTCGGAATAACATCTCTGAGCGCAAATTGGATTACATCTTGGGGAGGCTCACTGTGGTCATGAGTTCTCAGAATCGGCTCTTTGAGCACAATAATAACAACATCACAGAGCGAAAGTTTGATAACAAATTTGAATTTGAATTTGGGAAGCTCACAGCTCTCCAACGGGAGATTGAGAGACCAGTGTTGGACTGTTAGAACTGCTTTGAAATTCATATGAGCTGTTCCTGTCACGGCCGAGGCTGCCTGAAAAGAGAAATGACTCAAATGCTGGACGCCGAACAGCACGTAAGTAGTTTTAGAGACAACGTTTATTTTCTTAGTAAGTGTTCATAAACAGGAAACTGGAATGAGCGTTTAACAAGTGCAAAATGCCACAACTAAACCAAAGGGGTTTTAAGCAGCCTGGGCTAAGTAAGTAATCTGGTGTTGGTCAGTGGAAACAGCAGTTCCAGGGATAGGGCTGGAGGGAGAGTCAAACTGGGTCCGGGGTTAGGGTCAGAGTCACTGTAAATAGAGTACAGATGTTCAGGTATGGTTCAGGAGGAATATGGGCAAGCAGTTCGTTCTGAATTTTCCTTCGCACTGCGTACTTGCCGCGGGTGGTCTGTAGTCGCGTGGAGGGGTGGGCGGTCCGGGTGAGTGATCCGAAATTCCTGGCGTTGAGGCAGGCA